ATTAGATAAAAATAATGCCAAAAGTCTAAAAAAAATACATGTTGCTTATATAAAATACCCTGATTTTTTATCAAAATAATATTTATTTTCGCACAATTAGTTAAAAATAATACCAACAAAGACCCTTTGTGAAAACATTAACTAAACTAAATAAAAGTATCCCATTCTTTCTTTGTATCCATTTTGTAAAACTCCTATTTGTAATAGGATTAAAATTCTATTTTTTCAAATGCACGTGTGCAATTTTAAGCGTAAAAAAATCTTCCAGGATTATTCTAATAGTAAGCTTTGACAGTCCCAGATCAAACATTAAAAAGCCTAGACAAATACTAGCTGAGAAATAGTGGACCAATATTTTAACTGTTAAATGTTTGTCGTTTAATTTGTAAATATTGACATCCTGGTAGCGGGACGTCTACTATAAGGAGCTGTGTTTGTAATTTGGCTTTTAGGTTTCCATTTTAAGGATTACTAAGTTATGGGAATGTAAAATTGAATAATGAATATGAATAATTTGGTTGGAGTTTGTTTAAGGGACAGGACATGACAAATAACGATATGTCAACATGGTTTTCTACTAGAGGAGTAGTGCCTACCAATAGTTCTAAAAGTAAATAAGTTTTTCCCTTATATAATTCAAATGTCAGCGAAGATGACTACAAAAAAAAGTTTCTATACAAAAGTGCTCTTTTAGTTCCACCCTTACTTCCTATGAAGTACCAGAAGCCAACTGAATGGCTTGAGCGGGCTAGGGGTAGGAAAGGAACGCGGGCATAAGGTCCCCTCCAAAGGACTATTACACAATAGGACAAACACAGAAGAATCCAGTTTTGTGAGGTAATGACCCAAGGAATTACGGTTGCTCCCAATTTATTAAAAAATATTTGTTTCAGCGATAAATCTACTTTTTTCTAAATGGATTGGTAAATAAACACATTTGTAGGTACCGGGACAATAAAAATCTATATGCTTTTCGAGAGGATCATACTCAGTATCCTCAAAAAATTCTTGGCAATGAAATAATTGTAAAGCTTTTTATAGAAGAAAACTTGACTGGAGAATTATTAGTCATTAGAAAATCAGACAGATAAACAAGGAATCAAGTTGCTTGATAAAGGACATTTGTACTTTCTCAAGATGGAGCTCCTCCTAAATATGCTTTACCAGTCAGAGAATTTTCTGTCAATAAATCAATCTTAAAAAATTAAGTATTTTTCAATTTGTAAATTTAAGCAAAATGAAATACTGCAAAACTGAAAAAAAAATCATTTTGTGTTTTTATCTTTAAATATTCCTATTATCTAGTGAACAAACCTAATAAAGTCTGTTATATTAAGAAGATTAGAAACTACTACTTATATTAAAATACTTTATTGGCTTGTTTACTCGATAAGCGCATAATAGGAATAGTTTAAAATAAAAAACCAAAAATTATTTTTTTTAGTTAGGCCGCTTTTGCAGTATACGCCTCAAATTTAAAATATATTACATTTTCCATTATTGAAAATTTTAAATGAGACTAAAAATTTTGATTTCTTATTATTTGGTAGTTCACACATAAGAAACCAATAACAATGTAAAAAAACTTCTTGAAGTCTATTATATGTAGGTATACTATAGTTACTTAATGGAAACATACAAAATTGACCAAATGAAACTAATCTTGAAAAAAAACATAAAATATGAAAAAACCATTTGAAAAAAAAACAGTGAAAAAAACCTGGAAAAAAACAAAAAAACGGATAGTTTTTTTCAAGTCACATCTCTAGTTGAACCAAACTTTCTAAAAATAAATTAGTCAAAAATGACTAATTGTCATAGCGAAAAAGCAGCCACTAATAATTCTTTTCAATAGCAATTTTTTTAACATTTAGAAGTTAATTTCCATGTAAAATTGTCCCCTGAATCTGAAAATGTCGTCAAAAGTTATAAAAGTAGAACAGTTTTTGAGATATAGTCAATTTTTCATAGTATATGACTAATGACAAAAATGACTAATTGTCATAGCGAAAAAGCAGCCACTAATAATTCTTGTCAATAGCAATTTTCATAGTATATGGAATTGACTATATCTCAAAAACTGCTCTACTTTCATAATTTTTGACGGTATTTTTGGATCCAGAGGACAATTTTACATAATAATTTGATGTAAATGTTGGGGATACCATGGTATCCCATGGTTAAACATGGTATAAGTGAAAAATCAGCCACTAATGACTGTGGTAATTATACATTGACTACTTCATTTTTAGAGAGAATGTTTCCCGAAAAATGGTGCTCGAGAATGGCCGGCAAGATCTACAGATTTAACTCCACTTGATTTTTTGCTCAATATCATATTTACTATAACTCAAAAGTTATTAAGGGTGGCTGGTTTTGAATTGAAAGACCTGTACAGAAATTAATATAATTTATTTATAAACTTAACAATATATTTTAATATTATACAGTTAAATATATTACAATATTTTTATAACAAATCTATAAAAAACACCTTAGGCAAAACAATTTACAAATGGAGAAAAAATGCGCAGAGTATATATAGTTATAGCTAGACTAGATTCCTATGGTTCCCAGTACACTCTGCCAAAGTCCCCTATCATGAGATCATCGTGAAGTCCAACTACTTAAAATCTGAAAAAGAAAATCATTGATAAGTGTTATACATACATTGCAATGCATTGGTAATGCAATTTATTGCATGTCATTTGGAGGTAAAGTTATTTATAACACTTTTTATTTTATGTTTAATTATCATGATTATTTTTACAGACAAAGTTAATCGATTGATCGCTAAATAAATCTGTAAATGTTAATCGAACTCATTGGCATATATTAATGATAAACTCGTCAGTCTGGAGTATCTGTGCTTCCAATTGACTTATGCATGAAAAAAATTTGCATAAAATCCAGTTTATAAAACTATGACAGCCATTATAATGTAAAAAGTAGCTGCCACTAACAATATTTTTTGAAAACAAAACACAATTTTTAAAAAAACTAAAGATAATTGAAGTTAAGAAAATAATGGAATCAAATGTATTGTCTATGAAACTAATTCCCACATTAAACATCAGTAAAATCAGACTTGTGGAGCAATAAAATATTAATCCTCGATAATTAATTACTCTTTCCAGCATTGCAACGATAAGTAAAATGCTAAGAGCAAGTGACTATATTAACTATTCCACACTTAACAAATCAGATGGGCCGTTTAATATTCCAAACATCCAGGCCATGCATTAATTACAGACTCTGATTTATTTCTTACATAAATCTGTGAGATGCAACTTTAAATTAGGGATTAAAAATGTCAGTTTTTACTTATTACATAGTTGCAAATTATTTTCATGGTATACCGACAAAATTACTACTTGTCGAATACCACCATAAGAAAAAATGTACTTTTTAAGTTATTCATCAATATCGAACCACTTCTAACATACTCGGCGCCAAGTTGTCAAAATTGTAACTTTCTTTGATTTTGATAATTTTTAGGATATAACGACAAAATAAAGACATTTAGATTGTCACCATAGAAAACAGTTAATTTTTTTGGTATACTTTCTCTTTAAATCATCAAAATCGAACAATTTTTAACATTCTGGGCGCCAAATTGTAAAAATTGTACCTTCCTTTGATTTTGATAATTTTTAGGGTATACCAACAAAATAAGGCTTTTAAATTGTCACCATATGAAAGAGCTCACTTTTTTGGTATACTTACTCTTAAAATCATCAAAATCGAACAATTTCTAACACTATGGGTGTAAAATTATCAAAATTTTATTTGATTTTGACGATTTTTAGGGTATACTAACAAAATTACCATAAAAAATCCTACATTTCTAGTATACTCTGAAAAAATCATCAAAATTGAAAATTTTTTAACATACTGGGCGCCAAATTGTCAAAATTCTACCTTCCTTTGATTTTGATAATTTTTAGGGTAACCAACAAAATAAGGCTTTTAAATTGTCACCAGCTCACTTTTTTGGTATACTTACTCTTAAAATCATCAAAATCGAACAACTTCTAACACTCTGGGTGCCAAATTATTAAAACTATATTTTATTTGATTTTGACGATTTTTAGGGTATTCTAACAAAATTACCATAAAAATCCTACATTTCTAGTATACTCTGAAAAAATCATCAAAATCGAACAATTTCTAACATACTGGGCGCCAAATTGTCAAAATTGTACCTTCCTTTGATTTTGATAATTTTTAGGGTATACCAACAAAATTAGGATTTTTAAATTGTCACCATATGAAAGAGCTCACTTTTTTGGTATACTTACTTTTAAAATCATCAAAATCGAACAATTTATAACACTCTGGGTGCCAAATTATCAAAATTATATTTTATTTGATTTTTACGATTTTTAGGATATACTAACAAAATTACCATAAAAAATCCTACATTTCTAGTATACTCTAAAAAATTATCACAATCTAACAATTTTTAACATACTGGGCGCCAAATTGTCAAAATTGTACCTTCCTTTGATTTTGATAATTTTTAGGGTATACCTACCAATGAAATTAGAACTTTTAAATTGTCACCATATGAACTTATTTGGTATACTTCCTCTTAAAATCATCAAAATCGAACAATTTCTAACATACTGGGCGCCAAATTGTAAAAATTGTACCTTTTTTGATTTTGATGATTTTTAGGGTATACAGACAAAATTACGACTTCTGAAATGTCGCCATAAAAAGTATACATACAAGTTATTAAAATCTAACTATTTTTAACACACTTGTCAAATGACATGACAATATTTTCAATATTTTAGTATAAGTATAAAAATTATCAAAATTCAACTATCTTTGTAGAAAATACAATCCTTAAGTCATATAAAAATAAAATAATTCCAATACCTAAATTTTAATTCAGAAAATAATTATATGCCATCATCAGGGTTCTTAGTATTGCTGTCTTATCACCTGTAGACACAACATAGTGGTACCTCCATAATTTAACTCACCTTTTGCTAGCTTCTTCTGGAAGTAGGTGGTTGTTGCTGTTCCCACCATTGGATAACGTCGATGACATTGTCCTTGTGACCGTCGGGGACTTCTTGCTCAGTCTTTAGGGAAATAACTGGTAAATTTTCTGTTTCTTCGTTTTTAACTTGCACATCCGGTGATAGACGTACTTTGATGTCGTCTTGGTTCGGGCTGTTGAAGACGGGGATGTAGCATTTTCGATCGCTGAGCTCTAGGGAGTTGGGGGATAGGGATTGGTCGCTGTACATCCCTGGGGAAAGACTCGCGGTGGTGTAGTTGCTGCTTAGGTAGGACAAATCTTGGTTTATTGTGAACTCTAGGTTGGGGTCCATCATAGAGGTGTCGATGATGTGATTGTTGATGATTAAGGGGTCCATGTTCTCAGAGTTGTCGTATATATTCCCTGGGATGATTTGGTAGGTGTTTGTGGACGTATTTATTTTAATGAATTGTTGTTGTGGTGGTGGTGTTTGGGCCAAAGACATGTCGTCTTCATCAAACCCGTCGTCAGATGGCGATAACTCATAGTTGTTATATTGTTGGGTTTGTAAGGTGGACATTGTAGGCGTTTCCACCCCATCCATAGCCAAGATTTCTTCAAGACTTCGAATATACTCGACGGCCATTCTAAGCGTCTCAACTTTGCTCAACTTTTTATTGCCACCCCTGCCAGTGTTAGTTTCGAAGGCTTGTGCTATGAAGTTTGGGATGTGCTGTCGTAGATTAGCGAAACCGTTGTTTACTTGTTTAACGCGGTTTCTTTCCCGTGCGTTTCTTCTGGCCACCGCCACAGGTTGCGGGTTGGCTTTATTCGAAGGTTTCGTGGACGATTTTTTCCTTGCCGTGTTGGTGATGAGGATGTTGTCCTTGAAATCCTCCGGTTGCGGCAGGATGTGCGCCGGTTTGCGTAGCACTATAACTTCACGTTTGTTGCTGGCGTTATTGTTTTGCTGAAGAACGTTCGAGAGTTTGTTCGGCGAGGCGGGAGTGTATTGTACCACACTTATCGAAGACATTTTCGAAAATAAACTAGCACTGTTGTTTTAATTGTTATTATTAAGAAGGTTGAGTCACATCACTTCGTTCAACTCGGTCACTGCATCTACTAGTTAAGCAATGAAACTTATGTACCGGATGTTCCAATTATAGACCGCGTTCTCACTGGCGCTGTGTCGCGTGCTTTCTCGGGAATGAAATAAAATGTGCAGTGGCCACCAATTTCGACGTTGGCTTTTCGCATACACACACGGCTCGTGCGACGCACAAATGAAAACCACTCCCCCTAATAGGGGTTGGATTTTTGGAGCAACAGCTGTTGAAGGTTCGATGCATACGGCATATGGGACACCTTTCGTGGCCTACGACGTCACACACTAAGGCCTGAGCCTGAGGTTTATTCCATATAAAATATTTATTATATTTATAAAAATATATAAAAAATATAATACGCCAAATTTGAAAATTCCTTAGTTAATATTATGAATATCAATTCATTATATATTGTTTTAAATAAATAACAAAAAAAAATATTAGATTTTTTGTATTTTCACGTGCTTGTTTAAGGTTACTATTCAAGTTTTACACAAAAAATTATTCATCCAAAATTTAGAAGCCAACTTGGTCGCATTTGTCGCGCCCGTTACGCTATTCATGACGTTATAAAAGGTTTTCTATACAAGTTTTTATTGACATTTTGTTTGAGTTAAATATCTAATTTTTTATACTATTTTTTATATTAAACACACGCAGTTTTAGTGTCGCACCCGTTACAATGAAAATACCATTTTGATAAAATTACTTTTTTTTACTCTCACCTTGTGTGAGTTAGCATAATATACTATTTTTAGCTTCTACATTTTTATTTTTAATCTACACGGCCTAATTCTGATATACTTGGGCCCTGACTTTAATAAAAAATGGTAAATAACATAAGTAAATTGAAGTGAGATAGAGAAAGTACCTACGTTCAATGCGACCAAAAGGGGCTGACTATCTTTTTGTATAGGAAATAGCGGTAATCTGTCTGATTTTTTATGATTTACTTACTTTTATTATGTAAATTTATTTTTTCCTATACGCTAAAGAAGCATCAAGGTTTCGCATTATTAAATGAATAAGTAGTTTTCTCACAAAAAAAGGAAGGCAGAAATCTTACTCGACAAATTTTGTTCGCAAAGTTTCAATTGCACAGCCAAATCGCTTTATTTGTGTTTTGCGTTGCAAGGAAAAACGCCAGAACTTTGGTTTAGTACTCGATTTATAATTCCTTTTATCATTGATTAAGAAACTTAATGCTTATATGCTCATATATGTAGTTACGTTAGTGTGTGTATTTTATCTAGTGTGTGTATTTTATCATGTTTTGCCAAAGGATAAAATTATGTACGTATATTTGTTGATGCAAAATTAACTAATGTTTTTCCTAATATAATTTTTGGACATTTTTAAGAAATCCAAGAAAACATAACCTTAAAATCAAACATGTTTATATTTGAGTACTTTATGTAGGTAGTTGTTTATGATTTTTATTGAATTTACTGATTATTTATTGAAAAGTTTTAGTAGGTAATGACTTACGTAAAAATTGTATTTATTGTATATAATTTATGTCTTCATTCGGATTTCCACTGTTTATTGGGAAACCGGTAACAAATCCTCCCACGTTTTTTTCTTGATATTTTTAACATTTTCCGGCTTTATTTTGAAAACACTCGTTTGTAACATATGCGTTTTACAGCTGATTATTAAAAATTGATGGTAATGAAGTATTTATTATTTTTTGTTTTATTTTGTATAACAACAATATTTTTTTTAATTATGTAAAATATCCTTAAATAAGTACATGTTTTTCATCACAATGGGGCATTTCTTCTTTTAAATATACGTTAGGTTTCATGATTCCTAAAATTTGATGTCCCCTTTAAATTTGCATGCATCATATCAGGACATGGTTCTGTAATTATAGATGAAATCTTACAAACGACTATTAAATCATCACCAATGACTGTTGATTGTTTATTAATTCGTGTCATTTGGTTTTTAAATTTTGTAAATTATCACCGCGAGAAATCGTCGTATGTAATTAGCGCGGTTGAGAGTCTCATAATGAAAGAGATTAAAATTTTTGATATGGGCCTATTTAAATCGGCTTTTTGTTCTGTCATTTGCTGGAGCTTGATTTGTATTATTTTAGTTGATAAGATGGTCTTAATTTGTTCTGAGATACGTACGTGTGGTTTATATTGTTGAACACTTTCTCAAAATACAGTATATAGGTACAATGTAAAGTTCTTTAAATGATTTGGGGTAGAATGCTAAAATGATTAAAAAACCTGGCCACATGTCGATGCATTGAGTGGTGCAGTGAATTAAACGTGCAATTACGAGCTACCACATGTGGCATCTATTTTTATGCGTTCAATACAGTTCGTTTGATCCAACATTTGGCATCCACAAGAGAGAACAGGAACGACATAGCGGCCCTACGGAAGAAGGAGAACTTCTTAGTGGCAAAACCACCGGCCCATATGGTTCACGTAGACAACATGCGACGAGCACGAATTTTTCGACTTGTTGATTCCAAAACAACACTTGTCAAGGGAACTCATGCATACATTTTAGAGAAATAGTTTATAAAGTAACATTTGAAAAACCTAGTCATTTTGGGCTTTTTACATAAATTCAATTTAAACTAAATTGTCTTAAGAATGTCTTAAGCTAGATATTTCTGTCTTAAAAATGCCACATAAGCTAAATATAACTGTTTTAAAAATGTCATATAATCTACATATCTGTTAAAGTTGTCAATTTGAGCTAGATTTGACTGTCTGTAGTGACTCTTTAAAATAATCTAAACTACTAGATTTGACTGTTTTAAGAATGTCAACTTAAGCTAGATATGACTGTCTTAAGAATGTTAATCTAAGCTAGATTTAACTGTCTTAAGAATGTCAACCGAAGCTAGATATGACTAGTCTTAAAAATGTCATATGAGCTAGATATAAATGTATAAAAAATGCCAATCTATGCTAGATTTGTCTGTCTTAAGCTAAATTTGACTGTCTTAAGAATGTCAACTTAAGCTAGATATTACTGTCTTAAGAATGTCATATAAGCTAGGTATAACTGTATACAAAATGCCAATCTAAGCTAGATTTGTCTCTTAAGAATGTCAACTTAAGTTAGATATGACTGTCTTAAAAATGTCATATGAGTAGATATAACTATCTTAAAAATGTCAATTTAAGTTAGATTTTACGGTCTTAAGAATGTCAACAAGCTAGATATGACTGTCTGAAGAATGTCATATAAACTAGAAATAACTGCCTTAAAGTTGGCAATATACGCTAGATTTAACTGTATTAAGAATGTCAACTTAAGCTAGATATGACTGTCTTAAGAATGTCATATAAACTTTGTTAATCTAATCTAGATTTGACTGTCTTACTGAATGTCAACTTAAGCTAGATATTACTCTCTTAAGAATGTTATATGAGCTAGATATAACTGTGAACAAAAAGCCAATCTAAGCTAGATTTGTCTTAAGAATGTCAACTTAAGTTAGAATGTCATATGAACTAGATATAATTGTCTTAAAAATGTAAATATCTAAGCTAGATTTAACTGTTTTAAAAATGTAAACAAACTAAATATGTCTTAAAAATGTCATATGAGTTAGATATAACTATTTTAAAAATGTCAATCTAAGCTAGATTTGACTGTCTTATTGAATGTTAACTTAAGCTAGATATTACTGTCTTAAGAATGTCATATAAGCTAGATATAACTGTCTTATAAATGTCAAACTAAGCTAGATGTGTGTCTTAAGAACGTCAACTTCTTAATATTTTGAGTGTAGTGTAGTGTAGTTTCAAATTTTCCCTGGTTATGGTTTTTGTGATCCATGCAAATTTTATCCACCATTTTAACAATTTACATAATTTCTTAAGAATGCCATATAAGCTAGAAATTACTGTCTTAAAGTTGGCAATCTAAGCTAAATTTGACTGTCTTAAGAATATCAACAAGCCTGTTTTAAGAATGTTATATGAGCTAGGTATAACTGTCTTAACAATATCAATCCAAGCTAGATTTGACTGTCTTACGAATGTCAACATAAGCTAGATATGAATATATAAAGAATGCAATATAAGCTAGATATAACTGTAAACAAAATGTCAATCTAAGCTAAATTTTACTGTCCTTAGAATGTCAACTTAAGTTATAAATGTCTTAATAATGTCATATGAGCTAGATATAACTCTTAAGAATTTCAATCTAAGGTAGTTTTGACTGTCTTAAGAATGTCAAATTAAGCTAGAAATGCCTATATTAAATATATTACGTGTCAAGAATAACAACAGACTAGATATAGTTAGGAATTTTAACATAGATTCTGTCTAGGAACTGGCAAATTTTCGTCCCCAGTTTTTCCACGAATTAGGTAAAACTAGACCAACTAGTTTATGTAAAATCCCCTAATAATTTTTAACAGTAACTCATCCGAAAGCATAACTAAATTTTTTTGTGATCCCGATGGATACCTTTTAAAATCCCGTCAGGGAAGGTAATTTTATATCGGCGAAAATAGTAACGGGCTTAACAATAATGTAGCGTTGCATAATCTCGAAAGGACCTCCATTATAAACAAAATAAGGGTCCCCCCGTTAACCTGAAAATGGAATGGGAACTCTACCAGATGTTCAAATGTTTAGCTTTTATGCTCATATGTGATTTCTTCTGTCTTCCTCTTTATACCTGTCTAACATGGGTGTCACGGGGGATAAAAAGAGATGGAGGATGTTTACCTGGGTTTGCTGGGATGGGATATGTCTGGTCGCCACGCTTCGTGCCACGCGCCTTTCCTTTCACATTTGCACAACAATTGAAGGGATTTTCTGTTCTTTAAAATAACGGCCAGTGTCTAAGTCCTAACATTATTTATTGCGCGTATCGGGATTATTTCCTATGCTGTCTAATAAATTAAGGACTACTTTGCAATTCCGATGCAACAAATATCATAATCTAGGTTTTAACCCATTGAGATCATCGCAGCATCGCTCGATCTGGATAAGCCTTTAAAAATGCAAAACAGTGACGTAATATTGTAATGGAGCCTTCATGCAATCTATCATCATTGGCAAATCTTGATACCGAAACAGTTTTAGGATAACTTCTTCGGTGGTCTGATGGAGACAGATTACTGTAATAAGTCCGATAATAGCTCAGTTGTAATTTCAGGCTTCTTGTTGATGCCAAATTGATCACATTTCATATGTTAAACCA